AAGCCGAAGGGTTTTCTGGACCAGCGGGCACAGCGGTGGGCGTGGAGCCCAGCCCGGCCTGCCCTGCAGGCCCGCTGGCTCATGGAGGCAGGGAGAGGGCGAGGGTCACGGGAGGAGAACACGGGTACTGGGACCCACCGCACCCCCCTCCTCGCCTCAAGACGTTGGGTACATGTCTTTGCTTGGAGGGTCCCTAGTTTTCCCACCTGGAAAACGTGCATTTCACATCTGTTTTTAAATTTCCTGTACTGGATTCCATGAATCCCTCCAAAACTCCCAGGAATGTTTGGTAATTAACAAGGTTATTGCGTGTGTGTGTGTGTGTGTGTGTGTGTGTGGAGGGGGGTGCAGTAAGGATTCAGTTCTGCTGGTGAGTGACCAAGACTTTTCCTGGTGGCTTGCTGGAGGCGGGATGTGAAGGGAGGATGGAGGATGGAGGACGGAGGAGGACATGGAGCGGGAGGGAAGGGAAGACAGGCCGAGGATGGGCCCTGGGAGGCCTGGGCGATGGGCACTAGGAGAGGGTTGAAGGCACAACCCCTGTCCTAGCTGGTCCTTGACCCCGTGTTCCGACTGCAGGACACAGGGGACATTGTCAGGAGAGTGGGTGATAGTGCTGTGCTCTGCAATGTGGGAACACGAGAGAGACAGAGAGAGAGAGAGAGAGAGAGAGAGAGAGAGAGAGAGAGAGAGAGAGAGACAAGGGAGGCTCACACGGTTCAAGGTCATCTCTACACAAAGGCCCTGAAGGCACCCTCTCCCCCCCTCACCCCCGCAGCCGGTCCTGGGAGCTCCCTCCAGCAGCCCAGTGGCCTTGGCCATGACGGTGGGAGGCTGAGGCCTGGGCTGACGGCTGGGCTCCAGGAAGGCACGGGGAACATAGGAGGGAACCTGCCTCTCCCTTCCTCCCCACACAACCAGGAAGTGGTGCAGGCCTCCGAGGCCCTCTGAAGGCCTTGCCCCATCGAGTCTCCTCTGTCCCCAGGAGACAGGCAAGCTCTGGGGCATGGCATCGGCGCTTCGGGCAGCGGGGGGGGGGAGGGGGGGACAGCTTTGCTCCGCGGTCATCTCAGTCCCTCCTAAAGTCCTCACAGGAGGGCCCACAGGGCGAACACATGAGCCATCACTGGGACAATCGGGACAGGCACCTGCATGGCAGCACCTGGCCTGGAATTCCACACTCTGAGGCGTTTCACCTGCTTTACCTGCTCACGTCGCAGCCATAGCCCAAGGCCGTTTTGTTGTCATTGCCCCTCAGGCAGGCAGGAGAGGCCATGGACATGCCCATATTCTGAGCCCGAGCCGGAGCCCCACGGAGCACACCGCAGACTTAGCGCGAGGGACTAAAGCCCAGCACCATGGCTCCGTGCTGGGTGACCTCAGACAAGCCCCTGACCCTCCCTGAGCTGCAGCTTCCCTCGCTGAACAAGGGGGTGAGGGCGGCGAGGATGTAGGGACTTGACAATACTACTACTAACAATAATGATAATAAACACAGTGAGACATTTACCGTGAAATCCATGCACTGGAATATTACTCAACCATAACAACGAAATGCTGCCTTTGCCACACTATAGCGGACCTAGAGGGTATGACGCTGAGCTAGATCAGTCAGACAGAGAAAGGCACACGGCGTGTGATTTCACCGAGAGGCGGGATCTCAAGAGCAAAATGAACAAAAAAAACAAAACAAAACGAACTCCCTCCACACACACCCAGAAGGAACCCCCGGCCGCCAGGCGGGCGGGGGGCGGGGCTGGTGAACAGGGGACGGGATTAACGAGTCCTGGGTATAAAAACACCCCCGGGAGGGGGGGGGTGTAAAGCACCGCGTAGGGAATACAGTCCATCGTAGCACAACACCATGTGCGTTACCAGGGCGACCCCTTCGTAAGGTTGGTACCTGCCTAAGCACCATGCCTGAAACCGACACGCTACTGTACGTGTCCGCTGTCATTAAAAACCAGCTTTTCAAGAGCCCAGGGGTGAAGTGTTCCCTGTTTCCTGTGTGTTGGGCGAGGGAGCAGGCTGAGAAACGCGCGCAGAAGAGGGGGCGAGGGCAGAGGCGCCCTCCCCGGGGCCCTTTGGGGGTCAGAGGCCCTGTGTGTGCAGTTCTGCCCCCCGGTTGGGTTCCCGGGAGCCGGGGCCAGGGCTCCTGAGAGGAGAGGGCCCCGAGGCCACGTGACCCCCTCAGCCGCACACAAACAGCCTGGCAGCGTCCTGCCACCCGCCCGGGGCGCGGGGAATGGAAACTTTCGCCGCCACCAACAGCAGCGTTTGCAGCGACTTCCCTCTCTGTGGTTTCTCTCTGCCGTTCCCTCGATAAAAGGGCTCGGGGCTGCACACACGTACCCAGCATTCACGGATCTCGTAAGAACAGCCTCCTCTCAGGACCAGAGCCGCCTGGCCCAGGAGGTGCCATGTACCCCGAGCTGGGCCACTCCCCGCCCCGGGGGCTGGGCGCCTGGCTGACGCTCCGTGTGTCCCCCCTGTGCCGCAGGCTCCGCGCGTCGGCCGCCGCCCGGGGAGCCAGAGACATGGGCAACAGCGTGCGATCCGGCCCGGCGCCGCCCGAGAGGCCTCCGCCCTGCTCCGACGGTAAGTCCGGCGTCCTGGGTGCGAGGCTGGGCCCTCTCCCGGGAGAGCCTGGCATGGGCACGGACAGGGTGGTGGGGGATGCTGGTCATGGCTGAAACAGGGCCCTGGCGTCCCTGGGAGTCCCAGATCCCATCTCTCTCTCTCTCTCTCTCTCTCTCTCTCTCTCTCTCTCTCTCTCTCTCTCTCTCTCTCTGCTTGTTGTGAATGTTAAATGGTAAAGGAGACAGGGCAGGGGCTGCCCGGAGGGGGCGGATTGGCCAGCATCTCCCAGAAGGGCCGGCTCCCTCTGTAGGTGCAGAACTTGCGGGCCCCCAAATGGGGTGAGAGGTGTTTGTGGACTCGGACGTCCCACTGGCTGGTCTAATTCTGAAACCCAGGCCCTCGATCACCATACCCCTGCCTTAGAGCCGCACCACACTGCCATGGGCACCACAGTGTCATGGGCACAGGCTGCGTCTTCCCGCGCTCTGCCGGGGCCTTTGGGAGTGCCACTGGATGAAGCCAGACGCTGGCCCTGGGCAGCCTTCCTGAGAGTAACGGAACTCTCGGGGGAGGGCACCAGGTCCCAGGTGAATCGGGGACGACAGAGGCCGGCGTTTGCAGCGCTGCCAGTGGAGCCGGGCTCCGAGCGCCACGGCGGAGAGCAAGGCGGGCGGCTCGGGCCCAGGGTGCCAGCGCCTCCGGCAGTGCAGCCTGGCTTCCGGTCCGGGCGGGGCGCCCTCTGTAGCTGGGGAAGGGATGGTCAGGGGGCCAGGCCATCCTATCCGTGACCCCAGGCTCGGTCCCCGGAGACCTCGGGACACGTCCACCTCCCGTTTTCCATCTCGGCACTCGGACCCAGCCTCCCTCCATCCCAGGGAGGGCCGCCCCTGGTGCCCTCGGCCCCCCTGCATCACGGCGCCAGGCAAAGGCCACAGGCACAGGTGCCACTGGCATGGCTGCCACGCTGCAGCCCACCGTGAGCGTGGACACAGCCAGGTCTCTGCCCTGCCTCGGCCTCCTGCTCACTCCATCACTTCTGTGACCCCTCCCAAAGGCAGCCTCCTCGCTTCGTCCACAGTGCAGGCACCCCAGTTCTGCACGCGCCCCCCCCCCCCGGCTCCCCAGGCATCCCTGCCCATGGAGGCCCTGCTCCCCACTCCAGTCAGGTGCAGGCCACTCTGGGGACCCTTCTTTCTAGCCGGGTGATTGTCGTCCCCCCCCAAACCTAAGAGGGGAAAGCACCGTCCCCGGGACAAAGCCGGGAGCAGGTGACAGGGGGAGCAGCGCGCGTGCACCGGGCTGAGCCGCGGCCCTGCCTCCGTGCAGCGCTCCGGCCGTGCAGGCCGCTGCTGGGAACGCGCTTCCTCCTCCCGACTTCTCCTCCCGACTTCTCCAAAAGCTCAGCCGCACTTCCTCCCGGGTCACGGCCGCTTCTAGAGAACGGTCATGTAATGCAGAAGCCCCGGCCAGCCCAGGAGGCACCCCGCCCCCAGGAGGCACAATCCTTCTCCGCCCCCCCCCCCATCCATCTGTCCTGTCACCTTGCGCCCTGGGGCCACGGGGCCTCACGCTTGAGCACGCCCCATGAAAACAGGGGCCTCCGAAGACGGGCTCATTTGCCTCCGACTCTGACATGCAAATGGCCGTGGAATAAGTGTCTCTGTTTCCACCGTGTGGGTGGGTGGTCACCTCCAGAGAGGAGGTGCAGGGGTCTCCCCAGCCCTGCACCCCCCGGGGCAGAGAATTCCCCAGGTCGTGCCCGGTGTGTAACCCAGGCAACCACATCAAGGGCTGGCGGGTGGCTTTTCCATCCCCCCCACCCCTGAAAAGTCCCCCCAGAGAGCGGCCGTAGCTCGGTTTCCTCTTTTCTCTGACAGCCCCGAGGACCAGGGAGAGGAGGGGTGCCCAACGCTGCATTCATTAGCGTCTGTCCCAGTGCAGCTTGGGGCGCGGGCTTTCACCCAGCACGCACCCCCTCACACCCAGGCCAGCTCATTGGGGCGTCTCCCAGGCCGGAGACCGAGGGGGAAAGGGGCTGCTTCAGTGCCCACATGTCCCCTCTGGCCTGCCTTGCTGTGAGGGGTGGAGCGCCGAGCACAGAGACCCCCCAGGAGGCCAGCGGTGGGCGCCCAGACAAAAGCGTTTTCTGAGCTTCCAGGCGCCCGTGCAGCCCCCACGCCGGGGCTGGCTGAGCCCCCGGCTTTCCCCGCCCGGAGCTTCACAGGCCATTCCCCATCAGCCTTGTTCCCAGAGAAAGAGCCACCGCGTCCCAGAGGCAGCGGGACGGAGGGAAGTCGGGCCGGTCTCAGAGGCTGATGACCTCGCTGAGCTTCTGGCATTGTCCCCTGGCGTGGCCTGAGGAGGGGTATCGCTGTTTATATAAACTCTGCTTGGGGTTATCTGGTTGCACCAAGCTGGGTGGAATGGCCATCCCCCCAAAAGTTTTCGAGGAGTCGGCGGCTTGTTTTCAAATCATGCCCCAGAGCTCCCCTTCTCCACGCTGGTGCACAGGTTCCACCCCTGCTCTGGGTCACACCCAGACGGCGGCGCAGACTGACCCAGGCCTGGGCACGCCGTGGAGTGGGGAGACGCACTTTGCCACCCTCAGGGGGGACTCAGTCGCATCGCGAGATCTCCCCCCCTGTTCACTTCCTCCCTCGTCGCCCTGATCTGAAGTGAGCTCCCACAGACCCCTCTGCGGGGATGGAAACAATGCTAAGCGGCGCATTTACATAGCACCCGGCCCTGCCCGGGTGGAAAAAGGGGTGGGTGGGGCTCAGGCAGGGGGGAGGAGGGAGGCAGGAAGTCTCAGACCCAGTCTGGCACCTCTCTGTGAGGGTCTCCCGCCTGCCTGCCACGTGCCCCTGGGAAGTCAGCAAATGCACTTCCTGCCTGTGCCCCCCAAGACCTGCTCTTCAGAATCCAGCAATGGTGGGCGGAGCCACGCACCTAACTGCTTACAAGCCCCTATCCTCTCCCCCCTACCCCCTAAGCCCCACCCCCTCGGCATTGTGCACTCAGAGCTTGCAGAAAACAGAGCTGGCTTCCAGTCCTGCCTGTACACACACACACACACACACACACACACACACACACACACACACACGAGACCAGAAGTGAGCTACCTCAGCGGGTCTCCATGGGGTTCCCTGTCCTCATTTGTGAAGCGGAAATAATTAGTTGGTGCCAGACACGATTCCGTGTGCTTTGCACCTGTCAAGGACGGCCCTGCACAGAACCAGTTAGCGTCGCCTCCACTCTGAGGAAGCCGAAACACGGGAAGGTTCAGCTCCACGCCTGAGGCCACGCCGCTCAGAAGGGGGCAGCTGGCGGCCTGAGTCCCTCCCTCGCCCAGACCTCACGGGCCCCCGAGAGGACAGGGACGGGCCTGCGCGGAGGCCTGGTGCTCTCTCCAGTGCGGAAGAGCATGGTCACCGCCATGCCGGGACCCCCGGGAGGGGTGCCTCAGGCTGGAACCTGCACAGACCTTTGCTGGGACCCCTTGCTGGCCCCGGAGACAAGCTGAGGTGGGACAGGACCGCACACCCTTGGTTGGACGATCATGGCTGCCACAGGAGCACGCACCTGTCCATCAGATGCAGGGTCTGCACCGCTCGGAGGGGGACTAACAGAGTTGTCAGTGAGCTGAGATGGAGAAACACATCCTTCAGCAAGCAGCAGGGCAGGTGGTACGGGCTGTGACCGAGCTGGTGGTGGAGGCAGAGCTGGTTCCAGGTGGTGTCACCTGGACCGGGACCGACACTCGCTTTCCCGACGATGTGTCCTCAGGGGAGTCTCCACGCAACAGCAACATCTCAGAGCCTCCGGGGCTGCTCAGGGCCCAGGTGCCCATCTGGCAGAGAGACACACAAGGCCTGGGCCACGGCGTCTCCCTTTCCAGCCCACAATACAGACCCACGGGTGTAACCTGTGTCCTGTGGGGACTCCCAGGACTGGGAGGGCCTTCTGTCAGGCCAGTGTGCCCAGCCCTGTCTGATTGGCTAGTTGTATGGATATGTATTTCCTGTCAAAGAGACGAAAGGCAAGGCCTGCTTTGACCCCTCTGCAGGCCGTGGCCTTGGGAGTGACTCAGGATCTAAAATCAGCCCTAGCTGGTGTGGCTCAGCTGATTGAGCGTCAGCCTGTAGACTGAAGGGTCCCGGGTTCAATTCCGGTCAAGGGTGCATGCCCTTATAGTGGGCTCAAGCCCCAGGAGGCAGCCGATCCATGATTCTCTCTTGTCATGGATGTTTCTATCTCTCTTTCCCCCCTCTTCCTTTCTCGCTGAAATCAATCTAAGTATATTTTATAAAGAAAAGGTGTCTAAGCAGAAACTGAAACCACTGGGGTTAGCTCCTGGCCCACCAGCCACACCGAGCCGCCGTGCCATCTCAGGAGCCTCCTTTTAATAACTTGTTCCAGCCTGTGGAGGACGAAGCGGTCCCCTGGGGAACCAGGCAATTACCTGCCGGGGAGAGCCACAGGGCCATGGCCTTACAAACGGTCCTCATCGCCCCCAGCGTGCTGTTCCAGCTTGCCTGCCTCGGTTTCCCCCCCTTAACATCAGAACGTATGTTCCTTACGGAGCATCTGATGTGGCAGATGCCGGGTCTGCTCGATGCTTATAAAGGAGAGCGGCTAAAAAGTTTTCAGTGTTAAAAAAAAAAAAAAAAATGGCGATACTTTAAGGGGGGGGGCGGGGGGATAGGCCATAAAAAGGGGGCCTGTCCTCTTTGACCAAGTCCCCTCTGTGGCCGGCGAGTTCTGCCTGGGCCCCCGTCCGTCTCTGGCTTCATTTCCCATTTTTACCCGTTTGCGCGTGTTGTTGGGTCTGACTCATTTCTGAGGCGGGTTCTCCGCAGAAATGACGTTTGTTCTTTTGAATTTCGTCTTCGGTTCTCACCAAGTGGAGCTTGTTTGGGGCGGATGAGAACATGTTCCAATGTACACGGCTCAGCGTCGTTGGAAAATGTGGGGTGCTCTTGCCTGCTGTGGGTTTGGGGTTTATTGAATGAGGACTCCGTCCCATCGCACAGACCTGGTACCAGCTGCCCCTGGCTGAGCAGGCTCCTGGGTCCCGACCCAGTCTGAGGGCGGGGGCCAGCTGTAGGGCGGGAATGGGTGAACCCCAAGCCCACTCGCGCTTCTGAAAACCCGCCCCGGGATTCTCTTTGCAGGCCTTGCGCGGGTTTCGCCCTGTCATCTGTTTCCTTATCTTAGGTCTGCAATGTTCCCGCCGCCTTCCTCAGCGCCCCTTCAATAAGACACCCCTCAATCTCATTCAATTCTAACACTGGGCTCTCCATACAGCCAGGGGGTTGTGGGGGTGAGGGGACAGCAGCACCTGACAATACACTTTAACTTCAGGAGCAAATTTAAATGTCCTAGTTCAGTGGTCAGCAAACTGCGGCTCGCAAGCCACACCCGGCTCTTGGGCTCCTTGAGTGTGGCTCTTCCACAGAATACCATGGCCTGGGAGAGTCTATTTTGAAAAAGTGGTGTTAGAAGAAGTTTCAGTTTAAAAAATGTGGCTCTCCAAAGAGATTTCAATCGCTGTCCTGTTGATGTTTGGCTCTGTGGATGAATGAGTTTGCCAACCACTGTCCTAGTTGCACTTATTTCACTGCAGGGACCAGAGCTCGGGGGTGACATAGGCGGGACGCTGGCGTGGGATGGCGTTCGGAACCACCTCCCTGTGGTCAGAGCTGACCTAAGGCCGGCACCTTCTCCAGCGCCTTCTCCAGCGCGTCTTTGGTTGTTCCGATGCTGGTGATGAGGCCGAGCTAGCTCTTCAGAGGGCCGGGCGAGGGCAAAAGCCCGGGAGAGATTTCCCGGCCACGGTGAGCCGGTGCGGAAACGCCGCAGGAAGCTCACCTGTGCTCTGGCGCAATGGAAACTCCGCCCGAGCCCGCGTTCCCGGCTTTGAGGCCGTTGTTCCTGTGACGGGGTTGTGCTCCTGTTTCAGTTTCTACCCGGTTTTGTTTTTACGGCGAGGAAGGAGGGTGGTGCTCTCTCCCAGCTCAGTCAGGACTCTGAGGTCAGAGCCCGGGCCCCAGGGCTGACGCGCAGGCGGTGGCACAGGCCGTGGCACAGGCCGTGGCACAGGCCGTGGCACAGGCTGTGGCACTCTCTGTTAAGGTCACAGAGAGTGGACATGCGTCTCCCTGTCACGGGCCCTGACCCCCTTTCGGGGACTCGGGCCGCCGTGAGTCACTTTTGGTTTCCATCTGACACCGGGAGTCGTTCACTCTGCATCTCAGTTTCCCCAAGTGACAGTACATTTCACGGAGCTGTTTCCCCATGACACTTGCTTCTGACTCATCGGTCGGTTGGCAAACAAGTCAGACCCTCCTTCGTCTTTCATACCCACTCTGTCTCCTAAGCTCTCCTTGGACTTGGCTAGTCCCGGACTGTAGGACTGTGTTCGGCAAACTGCGGCTCACGAGCCACATGCAGCTCTTTGGCCCCTTAAACTTACTTGAACTTACATACAGACGCAAATGCAGAGCAGGCAGGGCCCTATGGACTCTGCCCTGTCTCAGTGGCAGCTCTCCATCTGACATGCTGCCGTTGTCGAACGAGCCTTGGCAGTGGAATAGGTCAGTGGTCTGCAAACCGCGGCTCTCGAGCCACATGGGGCTCTCTGGCCCCTTGAGTGTGGCTCTTCCGCAAAATACCACGGCCTGGGCGAGTCTATGTTGAAGAAGTGGCGTTAGAAGAAGTTTAAGTTTAAAGAATTTGGCTCTCCAAAGAAATTTCAGTCGTTGTACTGTTGGTATTTGGCTCTGTGGACTGATGAGTTTGCCCACCACTGCTCTAGGACGTATGAGTTGTGAGGGCAGTGTCCAGCAGTCCCAGCGTGGGGGGGTCTGGGTCCAAGAGAGTGGCCTGTTTGGGCCAGCCCGGCTGCCATGCCCAGTGCTGGATCCTCCGAGTCTCCTCACTTGTGTATTCCCTAGAACTGAGCTCCATCCGAGCAGGAAGCCTTGGCTTTCCGTGTACAACTGTGCTTACCCGCGAAGTCACTTAGCGAGTCACTGACGACGAATGAGGAAATACGTACATTGCCCCCAGTTTTGAGTTCTGATGGCCGGCCAGTAGACGAAGTGATAAAGCGTCCTAGCAAACAATCACTATGTTTGTTGATGTGTCAGGCACTGCAAATATTACCCTGCACCTGCAATTAAGGCAAATCGCGACAGCCGGTGTGGCTCGGTGGTTGAGCATGGAACTGTGACTCAGGAGGTCACAGTTTGATTCCTGGTCAGGGCACATGCCCAATAGAGGTCTCGATCCCCAGCAGGAGGTAGACAATCAATGACTCTCTCTCATCATTGATGTTTCTATCTCCCTCTCCATCCCCTTCCTTCCTGAAATCAATAAAAAGTAGACTATTGTTAAAAAAAAATGGCTCAGGCTGTGAAACAAGGATTTTGCTTACTGGTAACAAGCAAATCCATATCGTATCGCCGGATCTCTCATCCCCCGACAGTAAGCTGTCCCTGTGTGACCCAGACAGCGTGCTTTCCTCTCACAGTGCCTACGGAATTACTTCCCTTTCGAGGACTCGGGCCGCCGTGAGTCACATTCGACGAAAAGGACGTAATTTCTCCTCCCCCCTCCCACCGAAGTCCCTATTAACTAGCTCCCTAACGCCGTGCCTCGTATTCTCAAAGAAGAGGTGCTTTTCTGAGTTTCGGAGTTCGTGTTTTCCGGTTCTGCTGGGTCCTCAGAACTCAAGTGGCCGACCCTCCAACATCGTCACCTCGATGTTATAAATGCAGGGCCCCCAAGGCCCAGAGAGCCCCTGGAGGCAGTGGCAGGGAGCAGAGGTGATGGGAGAGGCCTTTTCCCTTACAAGGGCTGCCAAGTGCTTCCATCTCACCGCCTAAGGGCCCTGCGAGGAGGAAGCGTAGCCCATGCGAAAGGTGGGAGATGGGTCTAGCAGGCGCGCTGGGACTGGCTGAGATCGCATGCAGCAGTAGACAGTGGGCAGACCCTGATGGCGGGTCTCATGGCCTCTGGGTCCCTCCTCTCAGATGAGAAGAGCCGAGACCAGGCAGGCATGAGAATGGCGGTAGGCCCTGCCTGCCCCTCAGGGTACGTACCCTCAAGCACCTACGGAAGAGAGGAGCGCCGACTGTATACATTGCTACTGCAAAATAAGTGAGGCATCTCCAGCTGAAAAGCCCCCGAGAAGGACTCATCCTTGTACCCGCGCCTCCCAGGACCTTGTTCTAGCTCCTTGTAAAAAACAACAAAACAAAACAAAACTAAACAACAAACACACAAAACCAACAAACTCTTTTCCTGTTTCCTCAGGGGTGGAGAGCGACTTCCTGGCCGTGCTGACCGATTACCCATCTCCTGACATCAGCCCCCCAATATTTCGCCGAGGGGAGAAGCTGCGTGTGATTTCTGAGTGAGTTAGCTTTCAAACCTTTACAACGCCCCCCCCCCCAAAAAAAAGGAAGGATGAACTCGATTGGGGGGCCGTGGTTAGGCTCCAGCTGTAGCCGTGAAGTTCCCTATGAGCCCTGGTCCTGAAGTGAAGTGAGACACTGGCCCTTACAGAAGGCCTTCCTGCTCCACCTCCCCACCCCCCCGCCCCCGCATGCTGCCTGTGCTCTCACACCTCCCGTGGCTCCCCATTGCCTCCCGGTTGACAATGCAGATTCCTCGGCCGTTTCTGAGGTCTTTTATCGTATCCATCTCAGCTCCCAGCACGGGTGCAGTTGATATCACATAGGCAGGTGCAGGCCCAGGAAGGAAGGCCCGGGGGCCCGGGGAAACCTCTGAGGATACGCACAGTATGGCCTTCTGCCCTGTTGTCGCTCCCTGGTTGGAAATAGTCTCCAGAACAGGGGCGGGGAGCCCTTTTCCTGCCCAGGGCCATTCGGATGTTTATAGCATCATTCGAGGGCCATACGAATGTATCGACTTACACATCAGCCTGCTGTACGGGGTCAGACATTTCGTTAACTCACCCCTCACGCCTTGGCAGGGCCAGACCATGTGATTTCTCAGGCCTCACACGGCCCGCGGGCCGGACGTTCCCCATCCCTGCTCTGGAACAAACAGGGGCTCTACTCCCCTCTATCTCAGTCCTCGTGGCCACAGACGGAGGAAGCGTCCTGGTTCTACCCCAGGGCCTCCATCAGGCACTCGCTGACGTACAAACAGCCTCTGACTGTGGAATGTCGGCTGGAAACCTCAGCTTCCGATCTCTGTGCCTATCGCCTGCACGTGGGACGATTTCCTAATTAGCTTGGAATGTGGGGGGGCGGGGAGGAGGTACTTAAAAACTAAGTTTCCATATGGACTCATTTGGGTCAACGTGGCCCATGAAAGATCTTAAAGAACAAGGTGGCCTCGTGCGAGTCCGGGTTAGATCCAACGGCTCTGTTCATTCCTGCCTTGGTGTGGCCCACTCGCGCTGACCCTCCCCTCCCCGCTCTTGTTCCCGCAGCGAAGGGGGCTGGTGGAAAGCCATCTCCCTCAGCACCGGGCGGGAGAACTACATCCCCGGGATATGCGTGGCCAGAGTGTACCACGGGTGAGTGCCCGCCTCGGACAGCGTCCACACGGCGCCGTGTTCATGCCGGCGACGTGTCGCTGGGTGGAGGGAGTCCCGCCTGGGGTGGTGGACATCGGGGGGTGGGGTGGGGGTGGGGGCACTAGGCTGGAGAAGGTGAAGTCTCTTCTGCTCTCACCCGGTTCCTAGAGACGGGGCCCTGCGGGCTAGCCCATATAAGCGAGATGTAGTCCCAGCTCAGTTGAATCCCAGGTTCTATTCTGGTCAAGGGCACGTGCCTGGCCCTCGATCTTAGTTTCCTGGCCCCCGGGGCTGTGGCAGGGCGCGGGGCACTCACGCCGCCTCCCTCCCGCAGCTGGCTGTTCGAAGGGCTGGGCAGAGACAAGGCCGAGGAGCTGCTGCAGCTGCCCGACACCAAGATCGGCTCCTTCATGATCCGGGAGAGCGAGACGAAGAAAGGTGAGCGGCCCACCCACCTCCCCACGCTCGGGTCAGACCGGCAGGCTCGGCTCCTGGCCGACGCGTTCATGGTCCGGCCACCTCCCTCCTCCCACGAAGCGCGCCCATCAGGCCGAGGCGGGAGCTCCCTGCAGCCCAGGTGGAGGGGAGGCCTGCATGGAAGCCCGGGGCCGACACAGGCCGTGGGGCCTGGACCCGCATCAGATCTCTGCGCTCAATTTTCTCAGCTGTGAGATGGGAAGGAACCCCTCCCCTCACACTTGTGGTGGCCTTACAGCCCAGGAGACCCCCAGGGCTAGCTCCCTCTGTGCCCAGCAATGGAATCAGAAATCTCCAAGAAGCAGGACCACAGATGCACACCGCACACACCCTGGTCTGATCTGCACAATCTCCTCACATCCCATGCACCACGTCGTCCAGCGGGAACGACGCAGCAGGGCTCCGGGGTTCTGAGCAGGGTCCCCAGTTCCAGCTCCAGCAGGGTGGGTGCTGGAGGAGCCACGCCCCCTCTGTAAGCCCAGGCCCCCTTATCCATCACCATCACGTGGGTGGGGTCAGCTGGAGGAACATATGTAAGTGAGCAGACGCGAGACTTGGGCCTTCCGTGTGGGTCCTCCCGGGCTGAGGAAGGATGCCAATAACTGTTGGATCACAGAAGACGCTTGTGGGTTCTCAGCCTGTTCCTGGCTCCTTGCTGACAAGGAGGAGGACACCCAGCCTCTGCGGGTATTTTCGGAGAGCGAGATCAAAGCCCAGACGATGCTTGTCCCAGTGGCCCCGAGGCAGGAGACCCAGAGCCCGAGCCTCCAGCTGGTGAGGGTGGGCGGGGAGCCCGGGGGCACACTGCTCTAAAAATAAAAAGATCCCCAGGCAGCTGGCCCACAGGGTAGGTGCAGGCCCCGCTCCCTCGGGCATGTAAAGTTCTCGCAAGCTGACACCTGGCCCCTGGGCCATATCGCCTAGCTTCAGGCCCCGCTGAGGTCACCGAAAGACACATGCCGGGTCCAGTCAGAGGGTGGGCCTGGGCCTAGCGAGGGACGCCCCTCTGAAGGCCAGTCTCAGGCCTGCTCAGGACCAGGGTCCCAGTCGCCGTACCGAGCTGCGTATCTCCGGCTGTGCCACTTAGGGGCTCTGAGCCTCAGTTTCCCCAGGCCTTGCTGGGAATTGATGGAGATATTGTCCGAGTCCAGTTCTCCATCTTCCCCCCGAGGACAAATCAAGGCGGGGAGCATGGTGAAGGCTCTGCTCGCCCTAAGCCGTAAGGTGCTGCCCCCCTGAGGCTGCTGGAGGGGGGAGAGCACAGGTCCCGTGTTTCTCGGGGAGACCCAGAAAAACGTCTTCCCTGCCCCCCTCCCGCGTGTCTGAGAACACCAAGCCCAGGTCCGAGGGAGCCGGGCCGGGAAAACAGGGGCGTAGCCCTGAGGCCTCTCACAGGGGAGGCGCCGGAGGGCATGTGGGCCGAACTCAAGGAGCCCCAGGTGCCCAGCGGAGGCACCCAGACTCTCACCCCCCACACAGCCCAACGGCCCAGAGAAGCTCCCCCAGTGGGAACATCACAGAGCAAAGACAGGCCTCTCCGAAGCCAATGAAACGCTTTTTTTTTTTTTTTTAAAGAGAGAGTGAGCCACATCCACGCAGACGGGGTTCTCGTGGCTGCTGCTCCCGACACGGGACTGTGCGTCTGGGCGTCAGCGTGGGACAGGCCGAGAAAGGCCCTCGGCCTCGGGGTGGGGGTGGCCTTTCGCGGGGTGCCCTCGGCTCGGGGCCCCCGGGATGCCCCTGACCGCCCTCCCGGCCCGCAGGCTTCTACTCGCTCTCGGTGCGGCACCGGCAGGTCAAGCACTATCGCATCTTCCGGCTGCCCAACAACTGGTACTACATCTCTCCGCGGCTCACCTTCCAGTGCCTGGAGGACCTGGTCAACCACTACTCCGGTAAGAGCCGCCGCCCACCGGACGCCCCACCCCACGCCCCGCCCTGCTCACTGCCCCGAGGCGCCTCCCTCAGGTGCCTGGGGGTCTGTGCTCTGCCGCCCCGCCTTCTCCACGTGCTCCTTCCCTGCTCGCTCGGCCTGTAGTGAGCACCAGGAAAACACAGCGAATTTCCAGTTTGCCCGTCCCGTCAACGAAAGAGGCCGGGGGCCCCGCGTTCCCAGCCACGGGCGGCTCGCACTTCCTCACGCCGACTGGACTGCGCAGCTGCAGGCCTCGGGCTTTGCTCTGCAAATGCTCCCCCCCGTTTCCCCTTTTCTGCTCGGCAGGCTCCTCCTGGGCCCTCAGCCCTTCCCTTTTTATGCTTAAAAAAATAATAATTTCAAAGAGAGGAAGGGAGAGGGAGAGACAGACAGAAACATCCACGATGAGAGAGAATCACCTATCGGCGGCCTCCTGCACGCCCCATACTGGCCAAAGAGCCCACAAGCTGGGCATGTGCCCTGACCAGGACTCGAACCCTGACCTCCTGGTTCATATAGGTCGATGCTCTACCCCTGAGCCCCACCGGCCAGGGACCCCCCTCCTTGACGAAGTGTCAGTAGAATCCCGCTCGCTCTGCCTGTTAGCCGCGTTCACCCTGCTCTGCTCTGCTTCCCAAGGAGCTCTGAGAGGCCACGGCTCGGTCATTCATGCCCAGGGCCTCTCTGGGCCCAGGACGGGGGTTGGAATGACCCATGCTGACCAGGACGGGGTCATCCGCTGAGGGGGTGGGGACAGAGCGTGGTTTTGATGAGGTTGATGGGACAGGAGAGCTGAGTGAGACCGACAGGCCCAGAGGACAGGTCAGGAGCTAGGATTTTACTTCTCAGAAAAGGGAGAAAGAGTGAAAAGGCGGCGGTTTCTGGAAGTTGCTGTGGAACTGGCGCTCATATCCCACAGCTTTGGGCACCCTGGGCTGGCTATGCGACGCTGGGCTCCTTTGCTTCCCTGTGTATGGAGGATGCTGAGGATTCCCTGCTGGGGGACGCTGTGCGATGCCTGGGGTTGGTGCGCACAAGCGCTGGGAAGGCGCCTCCAGGGCAGAGCTCAGCTCCTCCTGCCCCGTAGCCAGGGCAGCCCCTCCCGCCTCCTCCCTGAGCTACTGGAAAGGAAGAGGCTGCCTTCCCTTTGCTGGTGTCCTCCCCCTTCCAGGTTCAGGCCGGACCTGACCCCTGGGGACCGTTAGGTGTGGGGTCTTGCAGGGCCTTTAAGGAGGAAGAGCAGACCATGAGGCTGGGCTCTCGCCCTGGCCTCTGAGACGCGCAGCCATGGAGGAGGCATGGTCACAGGGGAGACAGGGGCCCCGCTCCGATGCCCGAGGGAGCTGCGAGGCCTGGGACAAAGCCCTCGGCCTCTGCGGGACCCAGGTCCCGCTCACGGAGGTGGATGCGGCCCGCCTGCCGCCCGCAGGGGTGTGGATCACTCAGCGCCATCACACCTGGAGGTGACGCGGCGCTCCAGCCTGGCGTGCGGTGGGTACAGAATAAAAGAAAACGCGGATTATTTCTGTGACACCGAAAACCCAGAGGCTCGGCTAAGAATGAAAGAGGAAGGAGTCCTGGAGACGATGCACTCGCACTGGGTCTGAGTAAACATTGGTTGTGGTATTGGCTCTTAATGACAATCATAGCGAGGTGTGCAGACCAGAAGTTTTGCATAGACAAAGGCAAGCATGAGGGATGCCGCCCCGGGCAGGATGTCCTGGACAGGGCGGTCCACGGGCTTCCGGACAGGCTTGCCAGGACCGTGCACCTCCAGGCTCACCCGGGACCGTGCACCAGGCAAAGTACCCGGGACTATGCACCAGGCAAAGTACCCAGGACTATGCACCAGGCAAAGTACCCAGGCCTGTGCACCTCCAGGCTCACCCGGGACTGTGCACCAGGCAAAGTACCCAGGCCTGTGCACCTCCAGGCTCACCCGGGACCGTGCACCAGGCAAAGTACCCGGGACTATGCACCAGGCAAAGTACCCAGGACTATGCACCAGGCAAAGTACTCAGGACTATGCACCTCCAGGCTCACCCGGGACTGTGCACCAGGCAAAGTACCCGGGACTATGCACCAGGCAAAGTACCCAGGACTATGCACCAGGCAAAGTACCCAGGCCTGTGCACCTCCAGGCTCACCCGGAACCGTGCATCAGGCAAAGTACCCGGAACCGTGCATCAGGCAAAATACCCGGGACCGTGCACCGGGCAAAGTACTCAGAACTATGCACCAGGCAAAAGTACCCAGGACTGTGCATCAGCCAGGCTCACCTGGGACCATGCACCAGCCAGGCTCACCGGGGACCGTACACCACTAAACTCACTCAGGACTGTGTACCAGGCAAAAGTACCCAGGACAGTGCACCAGCCTGGCTCACCCAGGACCTGTAAGCAGCACTAGCACAGAGCAGAGCCTTCCCCACCACCTCGTGGGCCTGCACCAGGAGCCGGGCCGCAGTCTGCTTCACCCTGTGGTACCTGAAATGGGACTGAAACCCTGAAATGCTCCAGGCTCCTAGGGACCCCAAGGTTGAAGCAGCGTGGCCAGTTTCCCCACCCGCCTGCCCGCCGGCTTCTCCTCGGGACGGCGTCAGCGTGGCTGTGCCCGGCGGGGTCTGCACAGCGGCTCTGCTGCACGGCCTGCTTGCACTTACTTCCCAGGGGCCCGCGGGCAGTGACCTGCCATCTGCAAGCCTCAGTTTCCTCATCTATAAAATGGGGGATCAGTGCCGCCTACAGGATGGCGGTGAGGACCCAGAAAGCTCCAATGTGAGACGTCTGGCGATTGAGTGTCCCACGCGCAGTGGTGGCTGAGGGGGCAGAGGGTGTGGGACACAAATGAGGCCTCAGTTAGGGCCAGAGAGACAGGCAGAGGGGACGGGGGCCTTTGAGTGTCGAGCTGGAGCTGAGAGGTCTGAGAGCCTGAGGGAGTGTTCTAGAGATTTCCACAGATGGGAGGAGGAGAGGCCTGTGTCCAGACCCCAGAGGCAGGAAGGACCTCTCTCTCCTCTGTGTCAGGGGCAACGAGCTGCTCTTGGAACAAGAGCCTGGCTCAGCGTCCAGGCGGCAGGTTGGGTCACATCGCTGTGACTTGGCCCCAGGACCCTCGGTCTCCGCATTCCGAAAACGGGCCCAACCGTGCCGGCGGCTCAAGGACATGGCCTCGCTCAGTGCTGGGTTCATGGCCAACCTCCCTTCCTTGTTGCCAAACTTGCCTCCTCGCCCTGATGTAAGCTCTAAGGAAAGACTGTGTCTGATCGGTCCCTCACCCCTAGTCACCCCCTCACCTGTGAGGCCATTTCAATTTCCAATCCATGACAGGTAATTATTTCAGATTCACATGCAATTAAGCCCCCTCTGACCTCAGGGTCCAATCTCGAGTTTCTCGGTGTGGGACAGTGTGGGTGGGCGTTCAAGTTCAAGGTGAAGGGCAGACTGAGTGCTGGAATGGGCATCCTTGGTCGCCACCCTCTGAGAGCCTGGGTTGCTCCTCAGTACAGTTTCCTTTTGTTCTTGGGCCAGGACTCCCTCCCCCCCCCCACACACACACCCTCAGGCCCACGCCTGCGCTGGCTGGGGCGGCGCCTGCATCACTGACCCGCTGTCTCTCTGTCCTCAGAGGTGGCCGATGGCCTGTGCTGTGTGCTGACCACGCCCTGCCTCACCCAGAGCACAGCCGCCCCAGCCGTGAGGGCCTCCGAGTCACCCGTGACCCTGCGCCAGAAGACCCTGGACTGGAGGAAGATGTCCAGGTGAGGGGCCGGGGGCTGTGTGTGTGTGCGTATGCGCGCCCCGGGCCAGCGTGTGAGCCTGGCACACAAACCCCGTGGCCAGTGACAGCCGGCCCTGCTGGACCCTGACGGTGGACACACTGGGCGGGCACACCCCACGGAACCCCTCTGTTCCCCGGGGGCAGACCCAGCCTCGGGCCACGACCCTAGCGCCATCCTGGCAGGGCCCCAGCCCCCCAGTTCTGCAAACATGCCCTGAGCCCCATTCGGCGTGAGCAGAACACTTCCTAGCAGAAAGAGGCCACTTCCCCTTCCCTAATGGTTAGGATCCTGAAGAGGATCACACCGAGAACTCCTGTGTCATTTAATATTCTTCTAGACTCCCTCAGAAAGTTCCAGCACCAGCAAAACCCTAAAGGGGCATCGTTTTTTTTGTTATTGTTTTTTTTTTTAAGGGAAAAGCGTTTTCCACTGATCTATTTAGAGCAGTGGTCAGCAAATTCATTAGTCAACAGAGCCAAATATCAGCAGTACAAAGACTGAAATTTCTTTGGAGAGCCACATTTTTTAAACTTAAACTTCTTCTAATGTCACTTCTTCAAAATAGACTCACCCAGGCCGTGGTATTTTGTGGAAGAGCCACACTCAAGGGGCCAAAGAGCTGTGCGTGGCTCGCCAGCTGCAGTTTGCCGACCACGGATTTAGAGTGTCTGCTATTGTATTTTAGGGGTTTGTATAGGTGGAGATTGATTGGTGGGTTACTTTATTAATTACCGTATTTTTCGGACCATAAGACGCTCCGGACCATAAGACGCACCAGTTTTTAGAGAAGGGAAATGAAGAAAAAAAGATTCTGAAACAAATAGTGTCCTAAAATATTTTACGTGCATTAAAACCCAACATCACAGTCATAAACACATGTAATCAACCCTGTAAAGTAAACAGCAGCATTTAGAACCATTTTAGAGCCGGGCAAGCACACAGAGACCACACAGAGCCGGGCAAGTAAAAAAAAATTTTTTTAAAGTATATGTGTAGGCTATATTTGGACCATAAGACGCAGGGACTTTTCCCCCCCACTTCTGGGGGAAAAAAAGTGCGTCTTATGGTCCGAAAAATACGGTATATACTGAAACAGACATCCCATTGGAAAATTTTTTTAAAAAAATCAGAAGTCAGAGTTGACTGGGAGATAAATAAAACTGCTCTTTCTTATAAACATCATCAAAAACAAACAAACAAACAAAAAACACTCATTACAATTTGCAGTGAGACGTTTCAGCCATGGAAGGCAATGGTGGTTCAGAGAGGTTCAGTGACTTCCCTAACGTCACACAGCCAGAAATACAGGAAGCAGAATGATAAAGTTAGAGAAATGCTAACCGGGCATTTTTTTTCTTTTTTCTTCCCCCCCGCCCCTTCCTCTTCTCTCTCTCTTGTCCTGACCCCTCCTCTCCCTTCCTCGTTCCCTTTGCTCCCCCGCACAGGCTGCAGGAGGACGCCGAGGGCGTGGGGAACCCGCTGGGGGTGGACGAGTCGCTCTTCAGCTACGGCCTCCGGGAGAGCATCGCCTCGTACCTGTCGCTGGCGGGCGATGGCCCCGCGCCCCTGGACCGCAAGAAGAAGAGCATCTCCCTGCTGTACAGCGGCAGCAAGCGGCGGAGCGCCTTCTTCTCCTCGCCGCCCTACTTCGAGGACTAGCCCGGGACGGACGGACAGGCGGGCGGGCGGGCGGGCGCACGCTGTGTGCCCAGCGGGCGCAGACTCTGAACTCTCGCCTCGGGTCCAGCCGGGGGCCCCGTTTGCCTGGTTCCTGGGAACCTCGCCTCTTTCAGGCGCCAAGAGAAGCTACCTGAGCTCGCGCGCCCACCTCCTCTGTCCACCTGGGGACACAGGGCCCTCCCCTTTGGCGTCGGGCCTGTCCTGGACACCGGACCTCGACCCGCGAAGGGACCGTGCAATGCTTGGAAGAGCCTGCCTGTGCGCTGTGTGCTCATCACGTTTGCGGGGAAGACAGCCCCTCTCTCCCAAGAAAGGACGCAGGGCCCACCCCCAGCCATGGTGCTCTGAGCTCACTGAGGACACCGCGGAAGGAGAAGAGCTGGGAAGATGAGCCAACAGCTGCGTCCCAGGAAAAGGTCCCTGCACGGCACCTTCTCAGCCGTTGGTTGGCAGAGGCCTTGGTTCATGCGCGCCGCCTAGCGAAGGAGCTCAGGGGCCTTGAAAGCTCGCCCACCGTCCTAGCTAGCTCTGAGGCTCTCTTTGCCCCGGGTCTCAACACCACGTATGCAGAGGCCACACGGCCTCCCCGGCCTCTGCAGGGGCGAGGCCCAGGGGCGAGGGGAGGCTGCTGGGAGGGGCTATGGTGCGGACGGACTGTGCCAGTGTCCACCATCTTCCGCTGCAGCTTCCCCGCACAGAGCTTGGAGGGTAACCCCTAGTCCCCACATCCACGCGCCCAGACCCCCTCCTGGCTGCGAAGAGGCTCCGTGTCCTGTCCGATGTGAGGTGCCAGGAAAAAAGAAAAAAGAAAAAAAAAAGACCGCTGAGTCCCAGGCCCCAGCCGAGGTCCACATGCGGACAGAGAGAACGTGTGCAAACGGAGATCACGAGAGGGGGTGCCAAGGCAGACAACGGCGCCTGGCTCTGCGTGGGACAGGGGTCACGGGGATGACCCCGAGCCCAGGTCTCAGCTGGACCTTTGGAGAGAGAGGGCGTGGCTGGGCGGAGGAGGTCAGAATGGCCGCCCATTGATAAGTTCTAGAGCCTTCATTTGACCAGTGTTTTATCCTATGAAGGGAGTGGCTCACACACACGGATCCAAGAGCTGAGCTTGGGAGCGGAGGGGCTCAGGGGGGCTCAGTTCTGGCTCCATCGCTGCAGGAGATGAGAGAGCAGCGGCCAGGGCCTCTCGAGGAGAAGCCGGGTCTCCAGCTGCCCACGGCCCTGCCCCTGCCAGGAAGGCTGCCCGGAGCCAGGCCTTGCTCTCCCCGCTGGCAGGGGCAGGGAGGGAAGTGCCTGTGTCGGGGTGCCTCTCGCTGCCCCAGGAGGGCATCTGTCTGTCCGTCCGCATTGCGCATTCTGCACTTCTGAGGTCACTGTGCTCACCGCACGTGTTGACGCGTTTACATGCTTTTCTGCATCCGCAGAGCCCGGGCCGATTACGCCAAGAGACATCTGGGGTTCCCTGGCCCCCAAAAGGGCTTCACGGGGACTGGCCGAGGCCTGGGCAGTGCCTGCAGCCCGTGCACACTGCCGCGGACATAAAGCCGGGGCCGCCACCGGCCAGGTGTCTGCACAGGGTCCCCCGTGGGCTTTCCGTGGTGACTCACGTGGGGAGGACACGCGAGGGATTTCTGAGCGGGAAGCATTACGTTTTTGCTAAATCATGTATTTATTCCTGATTAAAATAAACCTAATGCGTATTTAACCCCCCTGGATGGAGACAGAGTTTCCTGGGCGAAGTGGGGGGGAGGGGGGAGGGAAGGGGAGAGGGTCGTTCAGAAACTGCCCCGGGTCCCAAATTCTCAATTCAACGTGCAGCTGGGCAGAGACGGAGACAAGAAGCCCCCAGAGAGGCCCCGCTGGCCGTAGGCTCCATGGGACGAGGGCAGCCCGGCTCTTTGGCCTCTTGAGTGTTTAGCAAAGGCCAGCTTAGGAGGACCCTCATTAAGTCAATAACAATGGACCTACCTGTATAGTTTAAGTTTTAAAAATTTGGCTCTCAAAAGAAATTTCAATCCCTGTAGAGTGGAAATTTGGCTCTGTGGGCGAATGAGTTTGCTGACCCCTGTGCTGGGTCAACAGTCCTGGCCCCGAGCTTTGCGGAAAGACGCGGTTTTAATCAAGAATAGGCAGCCGGCTTGCCTTCTCTCCCCGGCATCTGCTGGTGAGGGGCGCGTTGAGGAGCTGCTAACGGAGGGAAGTATTTCGGTCCCTGGACCCCACGTGGCCTCGCGGGCCTCCCGGGGGCTGCTGGGAGCGGTTGTAAAAGCTGCTCCCCGGCGACGGGAACAGATGGCCGGTTTATTTTTACACACGCTCCCATTTGTGAGAACAGATTCGCTTCAGAAATTCCCCAACACCCACACTCGAGAGAATTTTCAAGGAGAGGTCTGCCTTCTGCGCCTATGAGAAGGTGTTGGGTGTCTTCTGGGTCCTACTGAGTGTCTGGTTCCCAAGGTGGCCCAGGCATTCCTGGCCTGTCTCCCTGGGCCTACCATCTTGGGAAGGAGACAGACTACGTTGCTGGTGGGAATCCTGAGGATGGGCAGGGCAGCAGAGGGCAGGAGGGCGGGACCATGTCGCACACAGGACAGGGCCACCTTGTGTGGTTCCACTGGTGGGAGGCACCTAGTCAGGCAACATTACGGAGGAGAAGAGTGTGGAGAGTCATTTTCCTTTAGGTACAGAGCTTCTGCTTGGGAATAGAGTTCTGGAAATGATTCACGGTGGTGATTGCCTAAGCCTGAACATGTGCTTAGTGCCCCTGAGTTGTACACTTCCACGTGGTTAAAGTGGCCAACAGGACCAGACCAAAGATGCAAACACACAACACAGTCCCATGGCGATGGCTCCCACATGCCCAGGATGAACCCAAGGTGCTCAGTGCAACCTGGCTGCTCTCTGCCTCCCAACCCCATACCCCTGCCCAGGAGGGCCCTGGCCCCAGATGCACCGCAGGCCTACAGATTGAAGAAGAGTCCGGCATTCCCTTGGCGCCTGGACTCTGCCGGCGTAGTCCCACACAGTCCCACACAGTCCCTCACAGTCCCTCACAGTCCCTCACAGTCCCTCACAGTCCCCCACAGTCCCACACAGTCCCACACAGTCCCTCACAGTCCCCCACAGTCCCTCACAGTCCCTCACAGTCCCTCACAGTCCCCCACAGTCCCCCACAGTCCCTCACAGTCCCCCACAGTCCCCCACAGTCCCCCACAGTCCCTCACAGTCCCCCACAGTCCCTCACAGTCCCCCACAGTCCCTCACAGTCCCTCACAGTCCCCCACAGTCCCCCACAGTCCCTCACAGTCCCCCACAGTCCCTCACAGTCCCACACAGTCCCACACAGTCCCACACAGTCCCCCACAGTCCCTCACAGTCCCCCACAGTCCCCCACAGTCCCCCACAGTCCCTCACAGTCCCCCACAGTCCCCCACAGTCCCACACAGTCCCTCACAGTCCCCCACAGTCCCCCACAGTCCCTCACAGTCCCCCACAGTCCCCCACAGTCCCCCACAGTCCCCCACAGTCTCCCACAGTCCCCCACAGTCCCATACAGACCCTCAGATTCCTTCACAACCCCTCACAGTCCCTCAGTCCCTCACAGCCCATGCAGCTCCTCAGAGTCCACGCAGGCCCACGCAGTCCCCAGCCTTCCTCTCTCCTGAAAAGCATTCTCTCCCCTCCCCCACTCCTTCTCCTGCTCTTGGCTGGAGCTCCTCTCTGAGCCGCCAGAAGTCCCTCTCTTCAATATCTGCTTTCACTATCTGCCCTCGCCCCACAGCAAACGCCAAGCTTCCTGAGAACCAGGGCATGGATATTCAGCATGGCGTCTCTAGCACCTGGCACCGCACCTGCCAATGGCTGGACACCAGTACAATGAGAAACTCATCAATGACAAAATAGTTTTCAGGCCTCATGGTCAACCAGGTTATTACTTCCATCGTGATTATTGTCATCATCATCAATATATCATAATCATCATTGTAGCACCACATTATCATCATACTATGATCATCATTGCCATCACCAACATCATCCTCACCATCTTCACTACCATCATCACCATCATCATCATCACCATCATCATCACCATCATCATCACCACCATCATCGTTCTCACTATCATCATCACCTAGCATGTGCTCAGGCCGCCTAGCAGTATCATGAGTGCTGAGTTCTATTCTCTGCTTCATTCCACAATCAATAGCTCAGTTGGCCAGGCCATTGGAGCTCCGTGCCGCCCTGTGGCTGCTGACCCAGCTCCTGCCACTTCTTGCACAGCCACGTGGACAAGCATCTGGTCCTTCCCCCACCCTCCCCCTCCAGGTGAGGGAGCAGCACTGAGGAAGGGCTTAGTGAGTGTCACGCATCACCCAACACTGTCCTACAGTGAAATGCTACCAGGACGAATCTCAGGGTGGAGGCGGGACGGAACGAGGGCTGCTGAAGAAACCAGAGAGTTTACGGGGAGATTCGAAGTTCAAACCCAGAGAGGATCCGGGAAGCCACGTGGGGAAGTGGAGGAGAGTTCTCTCGGGTTGATTTCTCTCCTGTTTGGGGGGTGCTGCCAGGTGTAGTTGGCATACAGTTGGCTAAACTGTGCCCCCATCATCACGTGCCTCCACCAGAGGCCTCCTCATCCTACATCCCAGCCCTTGTGGTTGTCTGTGGACAAGGGAGGGACTGCAGAGCTCAGACCGGTGAGCCCTAGCGAGGCCCCCGCAGCGACTAGAACACACCCGTCGAAACTGTGAGCACCTCAGCTATGGGCGGCCAGCCTCGGGGAGCCCTCAGCACCGGCTCCCATGTGCATGAGCGACGGCCATGAGCAAGACCCACACTCAGAGCACCGATATGGGGAACCGATATGGGGACAGAGCAATGGAAGCCGCAGGCCTCAAAGCCAGAGAGGGCCCTCACCCGACCGCACCTGCAGCCGGGTGGATGGACACTGAGCGGCCACTCACCATCAGCACGGCTCTCCGGAAGAGTCTGGAGCCGCCAGCCCCGGCGGTGAGAAGGTGGATGCTGGCCACGTCGGCCCCGCTGCGGTCGGCTGCCATGGTCACCCGCAGGGGGTCCCCGCCAAATGCTGCGATGTGGGTCTGCACCCAGGTCAGAGCCGCCACCTGGTCCAGCAGCCCCCAGTTGCCGCTCACCGCGCCGGACCCTTCTGTGGATTTTTAAAATATATTTTATTGATTTTTTTTTTTTTTTAACAGAGAGAAAGGGAGAGGGATAGAGAGCCAGAAACATCGATGAGAGAGAATCATCGATCAGCTGCCTCTTGCACACCCCCTACTGAGGATGTGCCTACAACTATGGTACATGCCCTTGACCGGAATCGAACCTGGGACCTTTCAGTCCGCAGGCTGACGCTCTATCCACTGAGCCAAACCGGTTTCAGCACCTTTTATGATTTTGCAGCTGGAACTTGATTATCCCGGTGCCTCTGGGGGGCCTGACTTCTGTCCCCACAGGTGGGGACTTGGTCACTGGGAGGCCCCTGGGGAGAGCACAGGTCCCGGCCGCAGAGCCACCCTGGCGTGGACTCCGCCTCTGGGCCCGGGAATCAGCAGTCCCCACTGATGCCCGCCACTCACCGGCACTCAGGAAGCCGAACACGCCCACTCGGAAGCCCGCGGTGACCACGATGAGGTGGCCGGCGGCCGCCAGGAAGGAGCCGTCCAGGGCGAGGCTCCCGTCGCCGGCCCCGGGCTCCGCGTTGTGGAAGAACAGCAGCACGGACGCGTTGGGGCCCTGCGGGATGGGAGAGATGCGGGGCTACAGGTTGGTCCCTTTCCCACCGGAGCCTGGTGAGGGCTCCTCCCGTGCAGGTGCAGATTCTGAGCCTGCACCAACTCTCCCCGTCAACTCTGCCCCATGTGATGGGTGGACTGTGTCCCCCAGAATTCACAGGCTGAGGCCCTAACCCCTAGACCTCAGAAGGTGACCATTTGTAGATGGGTTCAGAAAAGAGGCAATTAGCCAGCCTGGCCGGTGTTGCTCAGTAGTTGAGCATCGGCCTATGAACCAGAAGGTCACAGTTTGCTTCCCGGTCATGGTCAGGGCACATGCCAGGGTTGTGGGCTTGGTACGCAGTGCCGGGTTGATCAATGATTGTCATCACTGATGTTTCTATCTTTCTCTGTCCCTCTCCTCTCCTCTCTGAAATCAATAAAAAGAGGCAATTAGCCAGTGCACCCTAACCCAATATGACTGGTGTTCTTACAAAAAGAAGACATTGGGACACACACATCCACCGAGAGAAGTCCACGTGGACACATAGAGGGGAGTGACCGTCTACATGCCAAGGAGAGTGGCCTCCGAAGGATATCCCCTACTGACACCTTGAACTTGAACTCCAGGCCTTTTCAATCATGAGAAAATGGAGTTCTGCTGTTTCAGCTTCCATGTGTGTGGCACTTTGTCAGAGTAACCCAAACAAACTAAGAACCCCCTTGGCCATGCTAACTGGAACCTCATCTTGCTAATGCAGAGCTCAACTCAGACAGCCAGGCGCCGTGTGCCCAGGATTTTATTCACTCAGACCTCAGACAGCTCTGTCACCATTATTCCCATTCTACAGATGCAGAAGGAGAGGCTTGGAGGTGTTAGGTGACTGGTCTCAGGTCACACAGCAGCTACAAGGCAGCAGAGCTGGGCTTTGAACTTAGGCTGACCCTTTCAGAGGAGCCTACAAAG